AGATATGTATGTCTGTATGTATGTGGATAGTGGCAGCTATTGCATTATTCTCATGCAGCTTTTAAAATTTATCTGCACTTCAAACACATTTTTTGAGAACAAAAATTTCGTTATGTCTCTTTTGAGTTGTTAATTGAAATGACCAGTGTTGCCAGTGTGTTTGGCCCGACCGGCTAAATTGGCCAAAAAATAACGGCTAAAAACAGCTAAAATCTTTTAGCTAAAATTAACATGTTTATTTGAATAAAGTTGAAAGACTAATAAATTCATTAAATTATTTTTAGTTAAGAAAGGAAACTGTCGTTATACTTCATTAATTAAAGCTCTAAATCAGAAGTCAGTTTTGTATTACCTACATAATTACAAAAAATAGATCATTTACGAATTTATGACGTTTTTTCTATTGAAAAATGTTGCCTTTTTATGTTATAACGTTTGCACTAGGTTACTTTTCGTCCTGCAAATTGGCTATATTAGTAGAAAATATTACACTTTTGCTTATTCGGAGGGCAATATTTGCAGAAATGAACACACAAAGCTTTGAAAAGGCTGAGGAAGATAGCGAAACATTATTTCGAGAAAAAAGGCCAGTAATTTATATTGAACAAGCCGGTCGCTTTTTAAGTTTTTAACAATTAAACTATGTAATTTTATTTTGATGTCCATATATTCGAAGTGTCCCCATTTTTAAAGACCTGCTTAATCTCTGCACATACCTGTCAAAGAGAAATAATGAACGACACTAAGGATATCAGCACCACGATATGTTCTTTAAAAAACAATACAGTGACCCAAATATAAACTGGGCCGCGACATTTTAGCAAGTTGTGGCTATTTTTCTTTATTTTAGTTTATTTTTATGAAAATATAGCTGATTACTTAACAAACCAAGTTTCGGACATTGTGCAAAAATTATGAAATTTCTGCAAAATTTCACCAAAATTTTTAACCTTGCTAACAAAATCTTTAGAAAAAATTATGGTATGCAGTTTTGTAGTCTATTAAGTTCTAGTTTAACGAGGTTCAAATTTGAACTAGCGAGGACTTAATGCCGATTTTTGGCATTTTTTTAATGACGGCGTTACGAATTTTTCGCCATATAAAGTATGTTCGACCAGTTTTTTATATGTAAAATATGCGAAACATTGTCAACAAAAAAATTTTCAAAAATCAGCGATAAATGCTAGGAATCTACTTTAAATTTTTGCTTTATTGCACTAAAATTTTAAATTTCTATAGATGTTGATTAAAAGGTTAAAAATTTTGTGAAAATTTGCCGAATTTTCATAATCAGCCTTATCATGATTTTGATTTTCCCCAAACCGGTTCACTTTTCACCTTTTGGTTTCCATGTACTTACTATGGGTGGAATAAAAATTTTCGGGCGAATTTTTTTTTCGTGCGAAACTCAGGACAAAGCTGAATATTTTCACAAAGTAATAAGTTTGGATTTAAATGTTTTTTTTTTTAAGTAACCAGCTATATTTTCATAAAAAAGAATAAACATTAAATTAACTAATAATTGTAACACAGTTCGACACAAAAAATTTCTCCGAGATAAGGCTACCTAACATTTCTAATAGATTTTGTAAAAATGGAAGCTTATATATATAAATTTTAATAAAATATTGCAAATAGCAAAATCGGCTAAAAAGGGCTAATTTTTTTTTTTTTGCGAAACGGCTAAAAAATTAGTTGCCGGCTAAACCGAATTTTCTCCGGCTATTTGCTTTCGCAACCGGCTAAATCTAGCCGGAAAACGACTAAAATGGCAACACTGAAAATGACTTTATATACTTATTTCTTATATCCATAAGCAATCTCACTAATTAAATTTTAGTGAAAATCTAATTCGCGGGGCAATCTAATTCGCGAAATAAAATTGGCTTCAATGCCACTCATACGTCCCGTATCGCAAGTTTCTTCGTGGTAAGAAAACAATTTTTTGGAGTAAATAGGCACAGGTAACAAAACTGATTACGATGTGGGCAATTCTTTTTATGCACTCCTGCAAACATAACGAAATTCAAATCCATGCATATGTATGTATTAAATAAAAAACGCAAAATATATTGGCATCTTTAAAACCTTTAAAAAAAACTATATAATTATGTATATTTAAAAGTTTTTTGTTTCTAATGTAAAATCTGAAATCTTTCATATATGTACATACATTATATATCCATTGATGATGACGATATACATAAATATGCACATATATATCTATATTTGTACATACATAAATTTATTTACATTAATTTCATACTTTTAATTGCTTTTCATGTATGTACTTCATTAACTTTTGCATTTTATTTATTTTTTCATATGAACAATTTTTTACCCATTTCCTCGAGTCACTGTCACATAACCTACCCCATTTTTCTTCTCTTCTCTTATCTCTCCGCCCCCCCCTCACCAACTTTCTGTTGCGTGCGCGTGTTTATCTATTTTGCAGCTTTAGGGAACCCCGAACCGTACCAAGCGGTTAATGGATACTGTGATAGTAATTGCAAGAATTTCGTATTCTTCATTTTAATATTTGTCGTTTGTGTGTTTATGCATTCGACGTCGGAGGTGGGCAGCATGTTGTTGGTGATGCGTTGCACCCATCCAAAAGGTATGTGGAAATAAATATACATATGTACATAGTAAATACATAAACATACAATACATAAACAGTTGTCGAAAAAATTATATCATAAATATCAACTATAACATATAATTTTTTTGTTATTTAATTTTGATTACTATTTTGAAAAAATACAGTTCATTATTTAGTAAAATCCGTGTAAATCCAAGTTCTAAACATTGCGCAATATTTCAAAAAAAATCAACAAACTTTAACTTAATTAGATTTCTTAGAGAGATTTTGAATATGAAGTTTTACAGCGCAATGAATTCTAAATGAACTGTATTCTTATAAAAAAACCAAAATTAAATAACAAAAAGAAAAAATTTTACAACTTTTCAAAATATGGTGCGGCTATAATTTTTCCGACTACTTTTAATTTACTCTTTAGAATTAGACATATATTCCTTTTCCTAGATTTCGTGATAATTACAAATATTTTTTTGAATATACATACATATACATATATATGAATCTACACCCAACGACAGATAAAGTAGTATGTTCATCAAAAAAAAAAATTTAGAATATAAACTATTGAAGTCATTTGGACGCCAAGTTTTGTTACCACACCACAAAATGAACCGAGGCTAAAATATGACTGTTCTTAGAGTTGCCAGATTTTTATGCGCGAAATCAGTACGTTAGACTTTTTCATGCTAAAAAAATCAGAACTTTTCAGTACATTTTTATTCAAAGCAAAATTAAGAATGTAAGTAACAGATAACACTTTAAAATACCAGAGTACCTGTTTTTAACAATTAGGTTGTTCACACTTGCTTGGCTATGAGGTTATCTGGTTAAAAATTTGAATTCTGTAGTATATTTTGTTGTTGTAAACTGAATTTAAAATATATGTAACTAGATAACCAGGCAAGTGTGAATAACCTTAGTATTTTGGTATATAAATAAAATATAGTTCATAAAAAAATAAAAGTGTTATTCATTTTAACATGCGGTTACACAGAAGCCAATAATTTTTTTTTTAATGACATTTTTGAATAGATTTCATTAATCATCATTTCCATTTTCAGTGTTTATATAGTCAAAGAATTCTAAATTTTTGATTTTAAAATTACTTTTAATTTGAAGTTCACTTTCAACAATTTTAATTAGAAACCGGTTTCTCTCTTTGCGCCAGGAAACAAACGTTATACTTAAGATCCTCTGAGTTTCTTCGTTTGAGTATGGTATTGAAAAAAACAAAATTACATATTTTTTCAAACTGTTGAAAAGTATCACTATCAATTGAGAAATATGAACTCTACTTTTCCGTGTGAACATCCAGAAATATTGGAACTTTTATTTGCTTTTAGGAAAAAAAACTTCAGAAATAAAAGATGCAAGGTGGGACTGGAACTAAAAGAGTGCAAATCACTTTCGTGAGGCTCTACCAATTTTTGTTTCTGCTCTGAGTGCAGACAAACCATTCAAGTGTTGCTGCAATGAATTTTTTTTCTTTATTAATACATTAGACAATGTTGGTGTGGACTCGTACGTATTTTCAGCAATGGTAGTCAATTTGCTATGCATAATAATAATAATAGATTGGCGTTTATACATATGTTAGTGTTTGGCCGAGCTTCTCCTCCGACTTGTGGCGCGTGCCCTGATATTGTCACACAAAGCGAAGGGACCTACAGTTTTACGCCGACTCCGAACGACGATTGTATTTTTATGAGAAGCTGTTTTTCATGGCAGAAATACATTCGGAGGTTTGCCATTGCCCACCGAGGGACGACCGTTGTTAAGAAGAAACCTTTTTCTATATTTTTTGCGATGTTGCTTTGACCAGGGCTTGAACCCAGGTGCTGATGAGTGAAAGCGCGTACTGCTTACACCACAGCGGCCGACTATACATAGTTCATTATTTTAAACATAAAAGTAGTAATACTGATATAGCCAAGACTTCGCTATTAATTCTGGTTGCGTGTAATACGCACAATTAGAATGATAATAGGAACAAAACTTTTTTAATTGTTTTGATTTTAACGTCAATTTCCCTATTTTTGGATTTGATCTGATTTTGATAATGCTTAGATTCTCAGGAACCGGCGAATAATCTCAAAGACAGTTTCGTTTCGTAAATATATCAACAGCGATGCTTATAATACGGATTTTCAGAGCCACAATCCTAGTATTTCTTTTCATCTACACTAGACTGTATTAATATCTATTATTTTCATAATTCTAATGGAGTATATGTAAATATTTTTATTCGTTTTTGTGATTTATAGCCTTATAACAATTATATTCAACATTTTTTTTTAGCTTGAGGCCGTTTTTAATGAAAGTTTTTGCGGAAAAAAACATCAATTTACATTTTGGTAGAAATTATTATAAGTATAGAAGTTATTAGCAAAAACCAATCAAAACAACAACCACATGATCAAGTTTAAAGAGCACTGGAATAGCTGCGCTTGATTGTAGTTTGCTTGACAAATGAAAAAGTAGAAAAAGCAACAACAGTTTACTCGGCGAACTTAGCTCTGTGGGTAGACTCCTGGCTATAGCGACTGGAGTCGTTGGATCGAATCCCAGTTGAAGAAGTCTGATGAGGAGATGTGGTGATCTCCGAAATAGCTATAACTTCTACCAAAATGTAATTGATTTTCATTAAAAATTGCGGCCGTTCAATAAAATTGTTGAATGTAAATATTTTTGTGAGAACGTCTTTGATAATATTTTCAAGCTCCTAACATTTTAGCACGCATAAAAATTGTCAAGAGGTCTGGTAAGACAGTTCAAAATGAAGTCGTCGTGTGAACAGCCAAAAATTAGTTTCCGCAATTTCACCTTAGGAAAATAAAAATGAGTTTTCGAAACTCTTCAATTTTACAGACTTTCCTAAATGCCTTGCATTTTCACTTGTGACTGCACTTTTACTTTTATTTATTGTCTTTTTCGTTGTAACTGGTTAAAAATTCTCCAAATAATGCCTAATAATGTAGATTATGCCTGGCATGGTCACAGTCCTTAGTCAAATATAAACCTAAATAGGTCGTTCCGGTTACGTACACCCGAGTGTCGCGAAAACGACTTATACAAACATACACATGAGCAAAGTATTAAGAAAATACAATAAATGAACAAAAATAAATTTTAGTTTAATATTTTATTATAACGTTTTATAAATTTAATTAAACGTTAAGTTTTTAAGAAAACTTATATTACACACATATTTTAATTTGCAGATAAAGCCATGGCTATGGGCATAATACAGTCAGCTATTGGTCTATTTGGTAATGTTCCTTGTCCGATTATTTATGGCGCCGTTGTCGATTCGGCGTGCCTCATCTGGAAATCAGTGTGTGGCAAGCATGGAGCCTGTTCACTATACGATGCAGACTCATTTAGGCATTACTTTCTGGGTATGGTCACAATTCGCTTTGCTTTTAACACATTTTAGATTTTTTTTTCTGCAGGCATCACCGCCGGCATAATGTTTTTAGCTTTCTTAATGGACTTGGTCGTGTGGAGCAAAGCACATCGCATTGACATCACACCGGAGGACAGTAATGAGCCGCATGGTAAACAGACGGCCGCGGAAACTGAATGTAAGAAGTCAATGGTAGCGCCAGACACCAGTGTTTAAATCGAAAGCGCTATTTAAATAAGGATGATCGAAATATTTTGCTGAAAAGAACAAAATCAAAAGGTTAAAACAAAGTGCGCACATTTTTTTTCGTTTTCTTTTATTTGTGTTTCTTGCTTCTGGTTTTACCTAATGACGCTGCGACAGTAAGAAATGGATGCGTATTAATTAAAAAGAAAAAAAAGAAAACATACACAGTTGCTTTGTTAGAATTTGACGGAGGAATGCGATCTTGCATTTATTGTTGATAGTTATTTTATTGATTAGTTTAGTTAAAGTTTAGTTAATGAAAGCATAGTTTTAGGCAGCAAAACGAGCGCGAAGATGAAATACTAACGAAATGGACAAAATTCATACGCGTGCCCTGCTAAAGTAAAAACAAAAAGAAATATTAAAATTATAAATATTTGCATACATATACATATGTACATATTTACAAAGTATGTTCTTGTCTCCCTGTATATTCATTCATACATATTTATATGTAGATCCATATGTGTGCACGTAATAGTAGATACATATGTATATGCGTGTGTAAATTTAATTGTTTGTACCTTTGTACTTCTTAATGTGTTTTTTTATTTTATTTCTTTTCTACATATGTACATAATTTCCTTCTTTTTTTAATTCATTTATCTACCTATATCAATAAATATTTACAAAATAATATACCTTACTCTTACTACTTACATAAGAACGATATATTTGAATGTAGATATAAATACATAATTAACAATGTCCTTTTTAACAAAAATCTCAGTTATAGCTTAAAAATACATATAGATAAATATTATTAATTCATCCTGCAGGCAACAACAGGATTGACCATTTAAAATGCGTAGCTTTAGCACAATATAATAAAAGCAAAAATATGCATATGTACATACTCACATATATATCGTCGATGTTTTTGCAAAACCGCGCATAGACCAGTTGCAAAACCGCTTAAATCGCCGTTGTGGCAAAAATGAGATTTATGCATAAAAATCGTTAAATCGTTATTAAAACAACAGATTTGTAAAATAATAGCTAGACAAAATACCACCTATCAAGGCAATGCCTTCAGAGAAAACCCGTTTTTACGCTCTCCTGTAAAATTTTAATGCCGTAAAATAGGCGGTTTTGCAAAAACATCGACGATATGTATATAAGGGTGCCCATCGAAAAACACAAATATGTTCAGGATCTTGTTCATATGCTCTTGCATTTGCATATTCATTGCATTTGTAAATTCACAACAATAAAATGCACATGGTTGCCATGGCGGCAAGCATACAATTTGCTAATGCAATTCCAACTGCAAATCCCAGACCATTTCCACAACATTCTGAACAGCCCTAATTTATTTATATTTAGAAGGAGCCCGCAACACCTTTGGGGCTATCAAACGGTGTACTCAAAAAACTTCTAACACTTCTGAGAAAAAAGTTTGAAATTGGAGTGAAAATGTGTTGCACTTTTTTGTAGTTTTCTACAATGTTTTAAACTTGGGTTTATTTATGTAGGTTTTGTTAGAGAGTGAACTGTATTTTGTTCGAAAAGTCCTAAAAATAAATAAATAAACACGAGTGGCAAACAATATCACTTTGAGATGGGGCTACTATTGTATTGACCGATACTGTATATTTCGTGCAGTAGCCTAAAACTAATGTTTAAAAAAATAGACCGTTTAACCTTTTTTTTATCACGCTGGATAGATTAATATATGTATGTACATTATTTTAAAGGGCTATAAATCTATTCAAAATATATTCCATTTTTAAAATCGAATGGAAAATAGTCATTTAAAAAGTGATAAGTCTACAAAACTGTATTTTCTGAATAAAAATGGCCGGTCGCGACCTCTAAACTATTTTTAAAAAATTTGATACATATACATACATATGTATTATTTTTCATTTAATTTTTTTTTTTTATTTGGATGGTTAAATACATTAGCGTATTAAGATTAAATCTTTAATTTTTTATTTCTCATAAAAAGGAAAAAATAGGTGGCAGGGTCTTGAAAATCATAACTTTTTTCGATGGGCCCCCTAATGTGTATAAGTATGTAAAGGTATACACAAAAGGTCCTAGATGATCGTATTCGCTTTTTACAGTGCAGCCGAGAAACGTGTGGAATGTTCAGACCAAGCTGCATTTTTTTCAACAATAATCTGACTTAACATGTTCGTTAAGTTTAAAAATATACATAATTACATATATTGCGTTTAATGTTGGTAGCTATCACAGAATCCACCGTAGTCCAGTTTTTTGTGAAATCTATGAACATGCGATCATTGAATCCGAATTGCTACGGACCTGTGTATTCAAAGTATACGCTACGTTCGTGGCTATTCGGCTTCAGGGATAGTGGTATTTTCGTAGATTTCACAAAAAATGGGACTACGATGGATTCTGTGATGCCCTGTCTGTAACAAGAATAAAAATGTAGAATAATTCTTTATAAATCGATTTTTTCGATTTATCTTTCACTATTTTCCGTATTTTTACTGTTATAAACGCAGCCGTCGTGCGAAGAGTCTCTGATACATTTAGTATTCTCTCACCAAGTTGTCACGGCATTTCTGGTGTATTGAACAATACAAATAATAATTACCCAAAATTAAATACAACTCATGGACTTTAAAACAGTGCTGAGTTATTACAAAAGTAGATTTATGGTGAGATGTTGTCAGCTTTAAAGAAATGCTCATCGGATATCCTTCTGTCACAGCTAATTTTTTTTTACTTTACTTGCAAATACTTGAGCCAGTTTCATAATGAAACACTTAAAGTTCCTTTTACAAAAGTTTCCGTTTACTTAAAGTGTAATTTAAATGTACTTTAAATAATTCTACAATACAATGGCAATTGAATTATAACAAAAGTTTCATTTAAATGAAAATAACAAAGTTGGCAACGCTGATCTCGGCAATATTGCATCAGCTGATTGTCATAAATATGAAATTATGCTACGAAAATGACATACTTTTTTTCTTACAAAAGGGACCTTTATGTAATTTAAATTTCCAATTTTGGGTATTTAACTAAAGAGTCTTTATGGGCACCTTTAACTTCGAAGTGGATTTATGAAACCGATCAGCCAAATAAAGCATCCTTTAAATTTTAAAGTATTCTTTAATCTTATTATAAAATCGGCCCCTAAGCTTATTATTATTTAAATAAGGTTGTTTTATTAAAAGTATAATAAATGTTCATTTCAAACCATTAGAGTTCACTCATATATTTAATACTTCTATATTGGCAACATCTGCGCAACATGGTACAATAATTCATGATAAAAACATAGCAAGGTAGAACCGTTCTCTCAATTTGTCGGCCATGATTTTTTTTTTGAAGTTTGCCAACATTTTAAAATCATATAAAAGTGAAAATAAAAAATTGAAATTGTACGAAATTGTTGTTGCTTGAGATTGAAAATGAAAATGTGTGTGTGAGTTTGTGAGTAAATTTAAAAATTAAATTGTTTGGAAACGTCAAGAATTTTAAAAGTGACTCTCAGCGGTTCTACCTTACTATATTTTTATCATGCAATAATTACAGGTATTGTCTTCCCAAAGAGCGCATATTCCGACCTGCCTTACTTGCAAAACATCATTGTTGTCCACACTAAAAGGTTAGGGCTAGGGTAAAGGGATATTTTCATACCCCATATACCATATATGTACACGTATTTTTTTAAACAAATCTTCTTGTATAGTAAATAAATTCGAAATTTGTATGGCTCACTTCATTTCAAACGTTTTTTCTTTTGTTTTGAAAAATTATAAAAATGAAATTGAGCGATAACAAAAAGCAAAGCCAAATAAAAGTAAAAGCATCAAAATTGGACTGCGTCAAAATTAAAATAAGGGAGCACGAATTTCGATGCGAAGCAAAACTCTCTGGGAAGACAATGCCTTTAATTATTGTACCATGTCTGCGNTGTCCACACTAAAAGGTTAGGGCTAGGGTAAAGGGATATTTTCATACCCCATATACCATATATGTACACGTATTTTTTTAAACAAATCTTCTTGTATAGTAAATAAATTCGAAATTTGTATGGCTCACTTCATTTCAAACGTTTTTTCTTTTGTTTTGAAAAATTATAAAAATGAAATTGAGCGATAACAAAAAGCAAAGCCAAATAAAAGTAAAAGCATCAAAATTGGACTGCGTCAAAATTAAAATAAGGGAGCACGAATTTCGATGCGAAGCAAAACTCTCTGGGAAGACAATGCCTTTAATTATTGTACCATGTCTGCGCAATGTGTTTGGATTCAGCAATCAAAGGAGATAGATTTGAGGGAAATAAACGTTTTGCGCAAGCGCAGGTTTTTCATATATTAGGAGCGTTCCTTATCTCCCAGAAATAGTCAGAAAAAGTCCGAAGTAGTCAGATTTAGTCCAAAAAGCGTTCCTTAACTCGGAAATGACAACAANTTTGTTGTTGCCATTCTTTGGACTAAAAATTTGGTTTTTTGCGTTCCTTTACTTTTCCTGTTATTCTCTTTTAGTGAGCGCATTTTGCTTGCGCTCTGGCATTTTGACACTTTTCAGATTTTAGTCCAAAAAGATAAGGAATGAACCTATTAGTATCTGTGAATATATGCGACAAATACATTCAAGCGAACTTGACGTATCCTCAGTAACGCTTGAAAATAAATTTACAGGGGATTATTTTACTCTGGGTGATTATGCCCTTTGTTGACGCTTGCTTGCTTATACAAACTGAAACTTTATGATGAAATATTAAAATTTTATTTTAAAGCTACCCGGAAATTAATAAACCGATTTGAAAATTTTTAAAATGATTACCCCATTTATTATTTTAGAATGTTTAACTCAAACATATATCTCAATTTTTCACAGAGTAAAGATTTACTCACTATTCAGGTAAAAAGGAATAAATAACTATATTAACTCACTCAAAATTGTAGTGATCTTTATATAATATTCGCAATGTCCATTTGAAAGTTTTTTTGCTTATTATTTTTTTATAAAAGTACAGTTCATTATCTAACAGAAAATATAGAAATCCATATTCCAAACTTTCTGAAAAAACTAAAAAAAAATAAAGAAAGTTTTATTAGAATTGCAAGCTTTTTAGTTAAAATTTTTGCAAATTATCTGCGTTCCAAAATACGCATTTAAAGCAATTTTATTTAATATATCTCTTGTTCACA